GAGCCACTTTGGACAACGTGACTGGACATAATTTGTCACAAGAAATAGAACAGAGAGTGAACTTTCAGCTTAGGCTGCTGCATGGAATTCTGCCTGACTCATTGTGCTTGAGTCTTTTGTGGCAGAAAGCAAGATGCCCTCCAGCAGTTCCAGAAGGACTCCATAGGGAGAAGCAGAGTTTAGGAGTGAGCGCAGCAGCACCATGAGCATGCTCAGCTCTGCTGAGGGGCAGCTGCCCTGGTTCCCCCTGCCCCTCCCGCCCGATGCTGGAACACAATGGGTTACGGCACTGTTCCACAGCCTCCCATCATGTGTGCGCGGCCGTCACATCTTGTCTACGTTTGCACCATCCATACAAACGTTGATATGTTTTTCTTTAAGTATTCAGTGTGGACTTCATCATCTTTGCGCATGGTAATGTGTTAAAATGTGTTATATATTTTTCCAAATACAGATTAAAATACATAACTAAAATTATTTTAAAAAAATGCCTGTGAGCATGCTACCTACAGCAACTCACGTGACGCCAGTGGAACACACAGTGTAATATACTAAAAAGTTCAAAAAGCTGGCAAATGTTGGGAGGGACGTACCTTACTCTCCAGGTTTCCTCTCTGATCCTGATGATAGAAGGTGGTATTGGGAGAGATATTTAGGGCTCTCCCACCATCCCAAGCAACATAGAAAAGATCTAAGATTTACAGGAGCTTGGTAAAGTGCTTTCTTATTGTGTCCTTGGCATTCAGCACGCAGGACTTCTTACTCCCATGTTGGAGTGGGCTTGAGTGAGGACGCCTGTAGTTGCCTGGCCATTCCCCGGCTCATTTCCGGAGGTGTAGTAGCAAACCCTGTTTCTGCTTGAGGCCTAAGCCTCACTCCACCCAGCTTGGCTAGGGAAATCCATGATTTGGATGAGAACATACATCTCAATTGCCTTCTGTCTCCTCTATTTCTCAAACTGGTTAAATTCCAACACAGCACATAGTTACAAAAACAAGTGAAAGAATGAGAGAAGAAGTGTTGATGGAAGAATATGCATGTGGTTATCATACAGCAAAATACTGTGTACATAAACACTTAATGACCGCTTGTTATGGAAAAAGTATTTTTTAAAGGATTAATGCAACTTGGTACTTAATATTGTTGAGTTCTCCTCCCCCAACTTGGGGTTAGAGTCAAGGAGCAGTCTAGTCTTTCTGGCTGAGTCTGTACACTGGAGCAGGGGCACCCTCCTTTGTTCCCTAGTCTCTGAGAAGCTATGAGATATAATAGAATATTGGCCTTGGGGTCAGGCCTGGGGACAGATTCTGGATGTTTAAAGTTGGGCAAATTACCTAGCCTCCCTGAATCTCAGGTTTTACATGGGTAAAACTCCCATTTTAGGGTTGTCGTGAGGATTAAAGAAAATGTGTGTGTCAGTAAGACTGCCATTCAGAAAGAAATTCAGATCCATGTCTAGGTATCCACTGGGCATGTCCATATCTAGATAGATTTTAAGAGTTTGGGATCTTTCCCTTGCATGGAAGTGGAGCATGAGTGGTCATGCTTATATTCAGAGGCCTTTTTTAGCACAGATAAAATGCCAAAACAATAAAGATTTTGATCTGATGTGTTCCTTTGTGCAAACAAGCTGCATAGCAAAATGGTGCAGATAAACGCAGATGAAAATGGAATTTATACAAATAAATGAAATTGTGTTTCTCTAGTATAAAAATAGATCAAATGGTAAGAGCACAAAAATAGGTGAAATGGTAACATAAACTGACTTGTGTAATCAGAAGGTCAACTTTGACATTTTTCTCTCTAGGCCTTTTCTAATAGTTTTGTTGCTAAGGCTACAGTGTTTTTGCCAGATTGGAACAGGATTGTCAACTCTAATGAAGATTAAGTAGGTTTCCCAACTAGATTTTTTTTTAATAAGCATCAGTTAATACTGCTGGCTTTCAAAGCCATGTTCACGAAGAATGGAAAGATCTTTAAAGATCTGTTCTTAGAAAATGTAGCTAATAAAATTTGAAATTTAGCAGCATTTCTATTCGATAGTTATTCCAACACGAATTTTTATCATGGTTACACTGAACAAAGTAACTTAAAATCTAATTTCATATATTTAACAAAAAAATAAGAAATTATTTACCTTAGCCAAAAATTAATTCCCCAAAGAGCGACTGAGGTTACTTAATGAACAATTCTTTTGACTGGTGGGGAAAGTGTTTCACAACTGCTAACAAATGCACTTTATTCTGTGAAGAACACAGATAAGTCATAAGATTAAGTCCTCTGTCTTTTGATTCCTATCCTTCATTGGTTAAAGTCATCTGAGTGTAAGTGTAAATACAAATGCACCCAAAGAAACATGGGAGTTTTGTAAAGCACAATAAATGAAAACCATTGGTTCTAGACACTCAATTGCTAAAAGGATGTAAAAGTAAGAGCCATTAGGAAACACGTGAAGAAACACTCCTTTTGATGAGCCTGCTGAGAAGCCGGTGGATCTTCCTTGGTCATGGACAAAAGAGACCATCTAAACTCTAAAAACTGTGGTGCAATTTGCATGCCTGTTGATCCCACAATTCTACTTGTGCACTAAAGCATGAGCATTAAATGAAATAATTCATGTTAAGTGCCTAGCCAATAGCAGATCCTGTTTTCCTCCTCTGATCTCTTTATATTTTTGTAGCCAGAAACCCCAATGTTAATTTCCAATAAGAAAAGCTGAATATTATCAAGTCAAAAGTTCACCTTAATTTGAATATTGCAGCATTAGTGACATCTGGTGGAAAATGAGTTACAATGTAGCATTATTCTAGCTATTCTGATCCTTCCTTATATCATTTTCATCACATTTTCACATAACCCACCTCCAAACTCTGTGGGAGGAGTACACTTCCCTTCCACACTAAAGTTTGGTTTAGCCACAAGACTTGCCCCCATCAGTGGAATGTGGGCAAAAATGTCAGTGTGAAAGTGTGGAAGCTAAGTTTTAAGAGCCCTGGCTAGCCTTTTCCCCCTACAATGGTAGAATGAGACATGTGACCTGCAGATTTGCATAAGAATAAGACAAGCACCCCAGATAACCCACACTTAACAGGAAAAAAAAATGCTTATGGTTATTCTATGGTTGTTTCCTATGAAGCAAAACCCAACTAATACATGAGATCATTTATACCTCTGTGTAAAATTCCCATGAAGGCTTCTCTGTCCAATTGATGACACTGCAAGAAGAATCTTGAAGACCAAGTGTGGTTCAGTCCCTTCTGGGGCTCTATTTCAGACCTTGACAGGCCCAATCGGAACATGTTTTCATTCCTCTACCTATGGTAAGCAAAACTGAGTCAGAGTCCAGGCCAGGCCTATCAGACTCTTGGAATCTTGGCTTCTCTAGTTTAACATGGTGTGGAAGTAAGTCATGCATGCTTTTTTTTCCCTTCCAAATTTTTATTTAAATTCTAGTTAGTTAACATATACTATAATATTGGTGTCAGGAGAATTTAGTGATTCATCACTTACATATAACACCCAGTGCTCATCAGTCATTCACAATTCTTGAACCCGTTGGTTTAAATATCTCCCTAAGGTGAGCTTCAAGGTATAGGAAAGAGGGTGAGACAAGTATAGTTGGAGCCATAGGCCAAAGCTTTTCCAACTGAGTTTTACCAGTAAAGCTCATAGCTTGGCTCTTACTAAACTCCAGTATATATATTTCCTGATTGATATATAATGTATACAGGGGGAAAGTCAGTAGAAGTCAGTACCATTAGAAATCACAAATTAAAAGTGACTAATATTCGAATCATTTAATTTGGTGAATAAAAACATAAATGACAGAAATTTGAGTATTATCCATGATATATTAAGAAAGTTTCTACCGGTGAGCTTTTTGGGGGAAGAACCACATTATTTCTCGTCATTTAGCAGAGGCAGTGTTTCCAAAAGCAACTTGGAATTTCTAAAAAGAATTTCAAACTTTCATCCTAAAAGTAGTTTCAGGATTTTCAACTCTCTTCATATTTTTACTGATCTTCCATTTCTGCTTTCCTTCTCAACCTAATGTTTCATGTTAAGAGGTTACGAACAGCCCAGAATTCAGTATTAGTGTCCACTTTGTACTACATCTTATGCTGGAAAACCAGACTCTTGACTACCTAATTCAACATCACTTCCATTTCTGAGAAAGACTTGTGGGTGGACCTCAATTAGATAGCTTTAATTCTCAAGGGAGCTGTGGCTCTTTCACAACAGCATTCATTACACCTGTCACCAAATATTGGTACCTACTTGTCTTGCACTGAGAGAATTGCCCTTTATTCTTAACAAGCAGGCAACAGGATCAAAGAGATCAGATTATTCAGGTGAAATAACAAAGACAAATACATATGAGATAAACCTGTGCAGTTACTTTCTGGTAGCTTGCCATATATTTTCCTCTCCGTATCTCAAACTTCAGAAAAGCCAGGACTCTGTTTCATTCATCCCATTACTTGGCACATTAACAGTTGCTCACTTTGCAATTCTTGATTGAATGGATACAGGCTATGTGTTTTTACTTGACAGTGAAGATTAATGAGTTAATACATATAAAGAGCTTAGTATAGTGTCTGATACTAAGCAAGTAATTATTTAAAAATGAGGTAAGATTTAGAACAGAGACTAGAAGAGACTTTTTAGAAGTTTGCCTTCAACTGACCTCGGAAAAATAAGGAAAAGTAGGCTGGCAATGAGGCTAGGAGTATAGAAAAGTTCTACAGGCCAACATATGCTAAAACAAATTAATTCCAAATGACATGTATTATTTTATACAAAGAATGATGCTTATTTTAAGTCCACAGTTATAAGATTAAAGGGGTATAATCAAAGCTTGTTCATTAAATTGAAAGTACCTTCAGACTTTAAGTTTGTATTCTTAGGCCCTGGTAGGCATAAGATATTATTTGCTATACTGAATCCATCCTATTTGACTGTGTTAATACTACACCAATATAAAAATATGTTAAGACAAATTTAAAACATACATATTTTAACTTTATTACATCATCATTTAAAGCTTGATTTTGTAAAACATAAAAAACTTCTTAAGAGTTCCGTATCACGGGAATTTAAACAGTGGCAATATACACAGCTTTGAAGGTTCAAGTTATATAAATTAAAATCAAATAATTGGAAATGTATTCAGTATGGAAAATATACAAATGAAATAAATGGCAAAAAGACCCAATAGGAACAATATTTCATTACTTACAGATTATCATTAGATAATTTCAGGATCTAAATAAAGACTGTGAATATTGAGACTTCTTTTGTTGTATTGTATATTGCAGTATCTCTGTAACCTATATTCTGAGTCAAGGTACTTGACCCAAAGGCATTAGCTTTATAGCAATAGTTTTCCATCTACAGTTACCACCTTCAAAGGAATTGACATAACAGTGCTGATGTAATCTGCAAGTTCCCTTTTGAACAATGTGCAATAATTTATGTCAACCCTGTATAAAGTCATACAGGTACCAAAAAAATGGAACAATTATGCACAGTTCAATAGAAGTTTTCCCCACCTAAAAATTAACCAATGAAACAAAATGTATCAACTATAGTTGACTTGGTTTCAGGAAAACCACATCTGAGAATTACAAGTACCATCACTGTCCTCATCTCATTCTCAGTCATTGACAGGAATTTTGTAGGCCACCATGCTATTTACTTTGTGGATTGTAGTAGTAAATGAACGAAGACGGACTTCCTCAGAATTGGTAATAAACTGTGGTCCCGACTCTTCCCATTTTTCAGGAACAACCAAATCTTTGTCTGTATAAATCAGTAGATCAAATGAACCTAAATTGGGGATAAGATCATTAAAGTACAATTATTTTTTCAAAAGTACAACTACCCTTCCTGTCTCTTTCACATTTGAACCACCTATAGTGTCAGAAAAGCTAGGTTAGTTCGATCTCTTTACCTAACTGCTTTTCCTCAGTGGAAATTTTAGTACAAAACATACTATACTCCTTTTAGTTTATTTTATGAAAAACTCGATTTTTTTTTTCTTTAAAGAGAAAAACCACTAAAAATATTTGCAGAAAGTGTATCATTAATCATGAGACAGCATGAATCTAAGCCACAGAAAAGGTAACAACTTGGTACAGTGACTGCCGTATCCCAGTACCCAGAACGGCATATGGCATATTGTAGGTATTCAGGATATATCTGATGAATGAAGGAGTAACTCAGAAAAGACACAATTACAGCTATAAGTCTTAATTATAAACACAGAAATGTGTAGAAAATAAAAATAAATTACATCAAAATATTCAAGAGTGACTACTGTAGAATACTTTCATTCCTTTCCTTTTTAGCACTTCTAAATAAAATGCAAATAGCATTACTTTAGCTTTATAACATTTTTCTCATTCACGTAACATGACATTGATAATTAAGAAAAAAACTTAACAAAAGCGTTAATTCTTAAAGTAGTAGCTTAGTCTTTTCCACAACAAATTTAAGCCAATGTGAAGTTGTAGAATACTTACAAGAAACTTCCAGCAGTGGCAGAAATGTCACCGTAGCTGTGATCTGTCTGATCACTGAACGAATTTCATCTTGAATAGCTTTCTGAGACTTTTCTCTGGGTGCACTATCAAAGAAACCAAATTAATTAATTCATTTTAACTTTAAACAAGTTATTTAAAACATTGGTAAAATTATTTATCTGATTAAGTGCTTCCAAAATCAAATAAGTAACGCATTCAAAAGGAGTTTTTTAACATGAATATAAATATATGTCCTTAAGAAACATAGTAGGCACAATATGTATCTCTATTGTTTCATTTACCCTTCCAATCATTTTTTAGGGTTGATCTTAGTATCAGGTCATTAAATAACAGATGACTAGAAAAGCTGCCAAGTGCTTCAAGTCAAGAAAGCTTCATCATGTCTTAAAGATAACAAGTAGTATTTAAAATACTTAATCAGTATAATCATTTGGCATTTTTAGTAATGCCTAAATGTCTAATATCCTATTGCCTCAAATATGTTAATTATGTATGGAGTTATTTTTATAATTAAACATTTTCTAAAATAGACCAAAGACTTCAGGAGCAAGCTTCATTACATTATGAGAGACAGTTTACAGGTAAGCATGCCTAGGACAATGCTAGAAATTAGCATATAATGATGGGCATCTCCCATCCAGAGGATCTAAAAATTTCAGTTTAAGAAGTGTCTAAGGAAGTCTGTAGTATTAAATGAAATACGGTAAGATGGGGAAAAGTTTAGGATAATAATTCATGGTTAAAAGTACCTTTCAAAATTCATGAAATGGCCCACCTAGGATAGATACCATGTATAGCTGTATGTATAGCACCATAAAAAACTGAAGTCTGAAATTTATGGATTTAGCCTAAGGACAATTATGTTAAAACTCCATGATAGGCATAATTCTTTTGTGAGCTCAATCCTTCTCCACAGGAGATTAAAGATCAAATCTAATATACTTAGACACAAATGACCTTACATGAAACTAGTTCAATGTAATTAGAACTCATTTAGTAAAAGAAAACAGTTTTGGAAAAAATCTATTAAACTGGAAGCAATTTACTTCATACTTACCTGTCATCTTTCGCAGTCTTGTCACACTCAATATCAAATTGCCACCTTTCAAGGACCTCACCACTTTCAATATTTGAGATGACTACCACCAGTTTCTGAACTGAACACTTGTATAACCAATCTGCAATACATAACAAGGCATCTTTTTTGGTTCGCTGCATTACAAAACAACTCTCTTCCCGGGTCTCACTTTCTATCCTCAGCAAATTCCTACCACTAGGTATTTTGGAACTCCTCCAACCTGTACAGAAAACCCGTCCCACAATAACCTACCTCTGGTTTTCGAATTCTCAGTACTTATACCAGATGTATAGTACTGAGTGCTGAAGACAGAGTAGTGAACATGCAGTACACCCTAACCCAAGGTAAGATGCAGGATACAGCTATTAATCTAACCACTGCACTAATAAATGTAAAAATTGTTAATTGTTATAAACGCTATAAAGTGCAGTATGTGATGCAATGAGAGCATAATACAGGAAAATCTGACTCAGGAAGTTTTCACTTGACTTCAGCTCTACAAATAAATACCATTAAATATACAAAAGGATACAGAAAAGGGCACAGGTCTTAAATACTGAAAAGGGAAGAGCATCTGCCCCGAGGATTGAAAGAACGGTAATCCAACTACAGCAAAGAAAGGGGAGAATGAACAAGTTCAGTTTGTGCAGGATACATATGGGTCAGGCCATGTAAGTCCATGTGGGCCAAATTAAAGAAGTAATACTTGAACCAGGGAAGTCATTACTGTATTTGAAGTATGGTGTGATGAAATTAAACTTGTATTTCACAACTATCCTTCTGTCTGTGATGTGGAAAGTAGAGTGGAGGTAAAGAGGGGATCCAGAGACATTTATTAATTAGCAATTCAAGCAAGAGGAAATGAGTCTTACAGGATAAACTAGTAGAGATGGATCAGTAGATAGATTCAAGAGATTTCATGGTTAAAACTGTTAAGATTTACTGATTACTTATGAGAAAGGAAGAGGAAAGACTCAGGGATAGCTCCCAGCTTTCTGGTTTATAACATTAGTTGGATGGTTGATCCATTCACTGAGAAATAGATTGCAAATCGGAGAGGATGCTTAAGTTTTGTTTTAAGATTTTAAGTAATCTCCACACCCGACATGGGTCTGGAACTTACGACCCCAATATCAAGAGTTGCACGCTCCACTGACTGAGCCAGCCAGAAGCCCCTTAAGGTTAGTTTTCAAGTATCACTGGGATAGCCACATGAAGATACCAAGGGAGCCACTCAATCTATGAGCACAATAGAACTGGGCTGGATGTATACTTGTGAGTCAACTACACAAAGGTTGTTAGTGAAGCTATGTACATGTCATAGATCATCTAGAGAGAGATTATAGTGAGAAAAGGGCCTCAGGACGAGGCCTGAATTAATCTTGGAAATTGGGATAGTATGCTCAGGAGTCCGCAGGTTTTTTTTTTTTTTTTAAGACATAAAAACAATTTTATAATATTTAGGGCTTGTGGGCCACCTAGTTCTCTGTTGCAGAGTCTTAAAAAAAAAAAGAGCCCTTTAAAAATCTGAAAACATTTTTAGTTTGCAGGCAGTACAAAAATAGGCCACTTGCTGGATATGGGCTGTCAGCTTTGCTTACCCTTTGACATATCAACTTTTTCTCAATTTAGCTCTGAAAAGGAGGAGATTGGGTAGCAACTTAAGGATTGGGATGCGTGGACATTTTTTTCTTTTAAAACTGAAGACAGATGAAACCAATGAAAATAACTCAAAACAAAGAAGTCAAAAATACCAGAGAACAACTGAAGTCCTTAAAAAGGCAAGAGGGATGGAGAGTCAAACAGATTGAACAATTTGCCTCTAAGAAGAGTAATTCCTGGGCGCCTGGGTGGCTCAGTGGGTTAAGCCGCTGCCTTCGGCTCAGGTCATGATCTCAGGGTCCTGGGATCGAGTCCCGCATCGGGCTCTCTGCTCAGCGGGGAGCCTGCTTCCCTCTCTCCTCTCTCTCTGCCTGCCTCTCCGTCTACTTGTGATCTCTCTCTGTCAAATAAATAAATAAAAATCTTAAAAAAAAAAAAAAAAAAAAAAAAAAAAAAAGAAGAGTAATTCCTCCATTTTAACTAAAATAAAAGGGCAAAATTGTAAAGGAAGGTCTGCATATACCTGAGGTGAAATATCCTCAGTGCAGTCTTTTTTTTTTTTTTTTAAAGAGTTTATTTATTTGACACAGAGAGAGAGATCACAAGTAGGCAGAGAGGCAGGCAGAGAGAGAGGAGGAAGCAGACTCCCTGCTCAATCCCAGGACCCTGAGATCATGACTTGAGCCAAAGGCAGAGGCTTAATCCATTGTGCAGTCTTAAAGGAGACAACCCAAAAACCAGTAGCTTAGGTGGGGCTTGCCTCTCCATTAAATTACAATGACATAGATTCTTAGTTGCTTACAGGTTTCAGGCTAAATAATCTGAGTACAGCCCTATGAATGAGTATGGTTGATTTAGCCCTGAAGCTAATAAAAATACAATTAATCTAATTTTAAAAATAAAGTTCTTGATAACAAAAAAAGTATGTATGACTCATGAATTAAAAAAAAAAGAGAGATGACTACTGTAAGTGTTTTTTGGAACTAGTTTTGGAAAAGCAAATGGGGACCTAGGGAGAAATATTCTACAACACAGAAAAATTACAAGCGAGAATCCTAAGTAGAGAAAAATATGGGGGGGGGAGGATAGATGGAGAACAAGTATTGATTCAATTCAGTAACTTCTTGAGGTAAAGAAAAACAATGAGTGTTCACATAGAAAAGGCTGACTGACTTCTAGGCAGGATTTTAAAAAAGACAAATGGAAATATGCAAAAAATAAGAAAACTCTATTAGGTGCTCTATTACTTAGTAGTTCTTTTCTTTTCTTTTCTTTTTTTTTTTAAGTTTGGCTCCTAGGTTGGATCTACTTTTATTTTTATCTTAAAGTAATGATGGCTTTAAACTCTAGGCAGCTACAGAAAATATATCATGTTAAAGATATATGGTGGATTTTTCTCCAATAATGAACCCCACCATAGTACGTAAAATTCCAACTTGGTTCTATCTGGCTACATGAACTGCAAAAATCATTTCTGAGGGAGTGGATGGAGACAGTTCTGTGAAGCCATATCAGATTCCTAACAACAAAATATTCAACCCACTCCCAATGCAGTATGGGAAGGGTGGACTTTCTTTCAATTTATGTATTATCTGTTTCCTTCCCATTAAGAATCACTGTATTCGAGATTATAGTGTTTTACACCTCTTTGTACAGAGCTGAAAAATGACCACCAAGATGCTAGAAAACACAGTCCTAAAAGGCCTGCAAAACTCAAAATGGTTTTCAACAATTAAATACCTTTCAGTTGTTCCACCACATTATTTAGGTATTTTATGAGCTCAGGATCAGTTGTTACAAGCAAGGTGAGTCCATATTTCTGCACTCTAGTAAAGGTTTCAGATGGATATATGCCACGCTGATACAAAATGCTGTTGATGCCAAATGCTGAAAACAAAAGGAAGGTTAAAGAAAAGTCATTATCACATTGTAACTCTGGAAAATAAAATACTTTCAGATGTGGCTACGGTTTCATTAATGGTATAAAACTGTAAATGCCTAAACATGTGTTTGTGGGCATCTTGTTGAAAGCACAGTAAAAGGTGGCACTAACCATCCTTAAAATCTTGCTTCTAAGTAAGAGAATACGATACCTACATTTCTGTGGCAATAAAAGAAAAACCCCAAACTGCATTAATCTACTGTCGAAGTAGTATTACAGCTGATTGTAATCCAAGTCCCACTTCAGATTATGCGGTTCGAGGGTGTCAAAATAGGCTTTTGCATCTGATTTAGCAACTGATTAACTGCTCCCTCCAATGCTCTCGGCAAGCTTTTCTCTTTTCCCCGCCTTTCTCCTCACAAGTCCTGCCAGAGCCTATTTGAAGATACAAGTGGCCTAGTCCAAAAATAGCGTTTCCTAAATCTAATCCATCACCTCCAATACCGGAATCAAAACGCGGCCGAGGGGTTGTCAAAAATATAAATGGGCCCCACCCGGCTGTACTCCGTCTTAAGTCGCGGAGGCCGGGGCTGGGGGGCGGTGGTGGGAAGTGCGTAGGATCTGCAGTTTAAAGCAACGCTGCAGGTGGAGGGGATAAGCCGCGAGGCAGGCCTCAGCAGCACCTAGGCCTCTTGCTCCACCATTAGCAACGCGTCCGGGGGCGGCGCTTGCATACGCTTCTTCCTAGATTCTCCCGCCAGGCAGGAGGCTGAGGCAGACACAGTTTAATTGGAAGCATCTCGGTGGCCCCCCCACCCCCCACCGCTTCCCCCGCCTCCGCGGCTGAGACACGGGCCGACCCGGCGGCCTGGCCTCAGTTCTCCCCGCCCTCCGGCCTGCGCGAGGAGGACTTACAGAAGAACTCAGCTACGATTTCGGCGCTCCCGCGCAGGGTGATGCCTTGCTCCCGGGAAAGCTGCAGCGCCATGGCCAGTCCTACAGACGGAGTGAGCTTCCACCCGGCAGAGAGCGACTGCAGAGACGTCCACACCAGATCCCCGCCACTCGTTTCAAAAGTAACGACGCAGCACGCCGTCGGGCCCTCCGCGCAGGCGCGACGAGCCTCTAGGCTCCGCCCCACGCCGCGGAGCCTGCAGGTCCTCTCGGCGCCCGACGGAGCCGGCCCCTCACGCAGGCGCAGTGGGTGGGCGTGGTCACGCCGTTCCGGGTCGTCCAGCTCCAGAAAGTCCTGGTTGGGCACTTAGAGCTGTGGTCTAGTAGGCGGTGCTGTGGGAAGGAGACGCGGAAACCTGACTTTAGTGGCCGCTCCGTAGGCGTGCGGAGTGAGCGACCAGGGAGCACAATTTGTTAGTTTCAAAGCTGTTTTCAAAGTGTTATGAACTGTCCGTCAGCTGCATCTTATGTGGCCTCAGTGATCCCTAGCCGGCGATTGAAACTTGCTAGATGCTTCGGGAGTCAGTAAAGAAACCGCATGCGCGGTAGCCAAGGCCTCCGCTTTAGAGGGCCTGATTACTGTATGGGAGCGCGGCTTTTCTTGAGAAATTGAGTTATGGTTAAAGGGACGAGCCGCAGCACCTTTTGTCCTGTATCGGTCCTGGTCTCAGCCTTTTTCCCCTCAGTCCCGCAGTGAGGCAGGCAGTCTGGAGCGGCAGGGGCTGCAAAGGGCAGTCAGACTTGTGCGTAGTGTACCCCGCGCACGCTGCACCCACAGAGGCCGATCAGGAATAAGTCACCTCATCAAAAAGACCCACGTACACTGAAGAGCTTTTCAGGGAATTTTGACTCACAAACGCAATGACTTCATGTTAGGATGGGAAGTACTAAAGTGCACCATTAATGTTCACGTCAGTTGTGAATTTTATTCTTAAAGCATCTAGAAAAATTATTTGTAAAATGACGTCTCAAACACAGTGTGCCACACACATTATGCTATTTAATTATATGAGAAACGCCTTCGTGTCTTATTTTTCTATTATTGCATAACAAATTACCACAAATTAATGGTTCAACACCCTTTTGTTATCTTAGCCGTGTAGATCAGGAGCTGTTATGATCCAGCTGAGTGCTCTGCGTAAGAGTTTCACAAGGGTGAAGTAAAGGTGTCTGCAAGTGGAATCTCATCTAAAATCTGGAGTTGTCTTCCAAGCCCGTTGGTTGCTGGCAGGATTAATGTCCTTCTTTCTTGGACTGAGGTTCTTGGTTTGCTAGTTGTTGGCCGGATGCAAATCTTGTGCCTTTGCCAGATAGTTCTTCCATAGGCCTTCTCATACTTCCAGTCCCACTGACTTCGTGGAGATCCCTTTTAAGGCTTTGTCTAATTAGGTTAGACCTTGTCAGATAATTTCCCCTTTGATGAATCTAATCTGGGAAGTGATACCGCATCATACTCACAGGTTCTTACCACACTCAAGCAGAGGAGATTGTATAAAATGTGCTCCTTAGAGGCCATGGATTTTGTGGCCATCTTAGAATTCTGCTTATGACAGTATTATGTATCCGATTTTGATCAGTTTGAAGAGTAAACCATAGGTAAGAAGCCAAATAAGCCTAAAATATTCTCCTTACCTCCTTTAGTCTCTTGTACCTGTGTGTATGTGTGTTTGAATCACCATCTTTTCACTCCTTCCACCAGGAACTTAAAGCCAGACTTCTGGCATCACACTGTTAGAGCATGATGCCCACCTTACTACAGATAAAAATTGTTCTCTTTCTGAGAATCTTTATAATACTCAGCACTTCAGTAAAGACTTCCTTCAGTTTCATGGTAATATAGTTTTTAAATTACCTGAAGATACAAATAATTATTAGTATAATTTTGGAGATTCTAGAGCTTAAAAGGCTTGCAAAATATGTTTTCCATGTATAGAAGAAGTATTTATTACTTTTTTTGTGCTCTGTGAGGAAAAGGAAGAAATAATTAAGTTTAGAAGACCAGGTCTGTACTTTTTGAGGAGTTTTGTTTACTAGTTTTGTAATCTGGTTTTAATATGTATACTGGGAAAAAATAAGAAAAATTAAAGTCTGCCTAACTCTTCGTTCCCCTTTCAGGTTACTTTCCTAATCTATCAATTCCTTTAGTCACTTTTCCACCTCAGGGCTTTTCATAATGTGCTTTTTAATGCCTAGAAATTTCTATTTCTATGTTCAAATTTCTAATTACGTTTTTAATTTTTTTTCTTAAATGTAACCGTATTGACCTCTTACACTATAAAATCCTGCCCGTATGTATTCTCATAGCATCTCAGAGCACTATTTCAGAGCATTGTTTTCATTCTTACAATGAAAACAATGACATTATAGTAATTATGCAATGATTTGTGTTATATCATTCCTGTTACTGTAGAGGATCCATGATGACAGTGGCTAGTCCAACAATATTTGTTGAATGAATGATCATTTGAATATTTGCCTAGGAAAATTTCATGGAAGAACCCAAGACATTTTTATTTATTTATTTTTATTTTATTTTTTTTAAAGATTTTTTTATTTATTCATTTGACAGATAGAGATCACAAGTAGGCAGAGAGACAGGCAGAGAGAGAGGAGGAAGCAGGCTCCCCACTGAGCAGAGAGCCCGATGTGGGGCTCGATCCCAGGACCCTGGGATCATGACCTGAGCCAAAGGCAGAGGCTTTAACCCACTGAGCCACCCAGGTGCCCCCGAACCCAAGACATTTTTAAATTGGAGAGCAGGTTGGATGGATGGGTGAGGTCACATTTTGGAAGCTTTGATTATCCATCGGAATTAGGTTGGACATTCCAGGGATTTCTAGACTCTTAGAATTAATATAATTAAAGGGGTATTTTTTTCAAGTGTAAATTCAGTAGTGGTTGTAGAATGGATTGTGTATAGGACAGTGGAGAGTGGTGGTCCTCAAACTTGAGAATGTGAAAGAATCACTTGGGTGTTTTGCTAAATGTAGATTCCTGACTTTTATTCTCCCTTCTCCAAATCTAATTCAGTCTAGTACCATAGCTGCTAGCCACAGGTGGCTCTTAGGCACTTGAAATGTACTTGTCTGAATTGAGATATGCTACAAGTATTAAAATACCAGATTTCAAAAACTTAGTATAAAAAAAAGAATGTAAAGTATCACAATGGTATGTTTTTCGATTGATTACATATTGAAATATTTTCACATGTATTAGATTAATTTCACTTGTTTCATTTTAGTTTTTTAATCTGACTACAAGAACATTAAAATTACATGTGTGACTTGTGTGAGTTTCTGTTGGAAAGTGATGCTCTACTTAATGGGGTATAAGAGATTACATATTTTAACCAGCAACCCAAATGATCCTTACACTACTTTTAGAAAAGCATTAGACCATAATGGATATTTTAGTAATGCTGGCCTAGGAGGTTGAGAGCCTGGACTAGATGGATGCCAAAGAGTTTGAATAAGAAGATACACACACACACACACACACACACACACACACACACACACACACATATATGTGTATATATATATACATACATATATATATATGTATATATATATAATATTTTGAGGCAAGAATTTAGTTGATGACTTGAGGGAGAAGAATGTACTGGTAGTACAGATAAATCCAAGGTGGCAAGCTTGCAATACAGGCTAGTGTTGGTAAAATCTTTGGGGATGTTAGGAAGAACTGCCCAAACTCTGAGCCTATACTATTTCTTATTTAGCACTTTAACACTTAAGATTCCAGAAGCTTTGGAGAGATGTCTATCCTATTAATTTTAATTCCTTGGTTTGACATTGACTTATCTAAATCATCTTATCTTTACACAATTTTTTTTAAAAAAACTTATTTTCAGGTACTTGAGTTTAGTTTTATTTATAATTCAATGAAGTCTTTCTAATGTTTGGGGAGGAAGGAGGAATATTTGGATAGTGAGAAGTATCAATATAAATTAAGAGTTATTTCTGAAGAAAATTCAAGCAGAGAGCATAACCAAACAAACCCATATTGATAAAAGAGATAACTATGAAAAAGTGTGCCATGAACAGGCCTATATTCAGTATTAGGATGCTAAAACCAGAAATGAAATTGCTAAAGCTAGAATCAAATGGAATTTTAGACTGAAAGTAACTTAATTAATGACTTACTAGAACAATCTTATAACTGAGGAAACTGAGGTCCTGAGTGATACATGGTTAGTCTAAGATTCAATATCTAGTTAGAAGATTAAGTAGTAGAATCTAGAGTTCCTGACTTAGACTCTTGTTAAATTTTATCAATTTGAGGACATGCTAATTAATACTCTTGTTTTTAAAGGCTATTTTTAAAAAATAAGCTGATTTTAAATTAAAATTTTTAAATATTTATTTATTTATTTTAGAGAGCGAGCATGAGTGGGAAAGGCAGAGAGAGAGGGAGAGAGAATCTCAAGCAGACTGCCCTGAGCAAGGAGCACCCCATGGGGCTCAATCCCAGGATCCTGAGATCATAATCTGAGCCAAAACCAAGTGCTAGACCCTTAACCGACTAAGCTACCTGGGTACCCCAAGATTAAGGGTTTTTATTCAATAACCTGTACACATAACTTATCAAGAAAACAACAGTTAAATCCATAATGCATTTTATGTTAATACACAAACTGTTTCAACTGCCAGAAGATGGCACTATTTACATATAAAATAATACCTTTTAAAACTTAAATGTGTATCTGTTTGAATTTGTGCTTCTGTTCAAAGAAAAATTAAGGAAAAATGTATTTAGTGGCTTCTAAGTTATCTGTATATGTGAAATACATCAGAATGAAATATTAATCATAATATAGAATTCATATCCTTCTTGTAAACACTTAGTATATGGATGCTCAGTATTTATATTTATACTTAATTTGCATATTAAGTTTTTTACATTGAAAAAGGAATCATTTTAGTTAATTGAATCATTATTCTTACAGACTGATGAATGTTTTCCTTCAAATCACTAGGTATTTATTTCTGAGGTCAACATCTTGACATAAAGCAGTTCTAAATCTGATAAAACAGAGGGATACTTTATGATATCTTCAATAAGAAATGCATTTACTAAATTTTGAAAAAAATTACTGTGCACATAGATAATAAATAAATTAATTATTAATTATGTCAGTTTGGGGAATTTGCTTTTTTCTTTTTAAAAAAATAATG